TCTATTAATTTATACAACATTATCTTTCAAACTTTTATATATAATCACACCTACACCATTTCTAGTGTGACTTTTTCTAAAGATAAAAAGATAAAAAAATAAAACAAAAACAAAAACAGCATCTCAGAAATCATTCCCCATAAGTTTCTTCACTGAACATCAAAGTGCAAGGATAACATATGAAGTTTATCATCATTGATGCTGAATTTGGAAAAAACAAAAATATATGGCTTGGAGAAAAAAAGGGGCTATATAAATAGAAAATGGTAGCATAGATATACTGAAAAAAAGTTATATATCATGAGGAAAATAAGGAAAATAATGTGTTGAGCATTAATATGTTTTCAACACAGCAGTGAAGAGCCAAATGATCTTTTTGCCTCAATTGCCAAAAAGCAAATCAAAATAACAATTTAGTTCATGGCCCTTAACCCAACTATCTCAATTGTCAAAAGACTTGTAAATAATATTGTTGAGAATTTTCTTTGAATTCAACACCAAGCTAAATTAGTAAAAACAATTTTGATTATATAATCGTATTATTGGAACCTTGAAATAAATAACATGCAGGATACAGTTGCGAAAGTTTAACCAAAAAAATTTTATCAAGGAAGATGGAAGCAAACATAACCAGAATGTTAAGCTAATATTTAAAATAAAAAAATAATAATGTGAGAAATCTGTAACTCAAAATACAATTCAATTTTCACTACAAACTTGGTAGCAACAGGAAAAATAATGAAGAAAAAAAGCCAATGTCCAAAGGACAAAGGGCTATTTGGGATCACTTTTGTTTTTTTTTTCGATTTCTTTATGTTGTAATTTGAAATAAAACATGTTTGACATGTTAAAAGTATATTTAATTGTTATTAAAAACATTCAGAACAAAGTAGTTTTGAGAACTTTTTAAAAATTTTGATTTTTTTTAAAAGAAAAAATAAAAAAAATGTAAGAAAGGCACAAAACAAATTTATTTTAAAAAAAGAGCAAAAACAAAAATAAAAATTGAATATAAAATTCATTCCAAATAACCCTAAAGTTTCGGCTAAGAAAAGTTAACTCCAAAGAGAGATGACTCAATTATTGCCTAATAAAGATTAGACACTCCTGATCCTGCAACAAGAGATGTCATTCCACATGCCTCATATATGTTCTCGAAACCCTTACCATAGGAGACATTGGACATGACGTGTCTTATAGCTTGAATGTAGGAATAGTTAATCCTTAAGAGGTTATTTGCTATCCGATTTTAAGAAAAATATAAAAGTCAGTTAAATGTTGCCAAACATTCTGTTTGGGAATTTGAAATCCTACTTATGTTCTGGAACCTTTATTGGCGAAATCAAATTTTGTTAAATCTCACAATTCGCAGAATTTAATGGATTCAAGGATTTCTTACTTCAACAAATCTTATATCTTGAAGCAAATATCCAAACATAATACAAGGAGTTGGCAAAGTTTAACAATTTTCCTATCGAACTGTTTACAAATGTTAATCTTCTTAAGTTTTAATAAATCTATATTTTTTGTTAGAAGTTATATTAGAAAATAATTTATTCCTATTAGAGGTTATAAAGATTAGATTTAATTCCTAATATAATTATATAAGAAAATAAAACTAATCCTCGTGACTTCTAATAGGAATAAATTTCTATCATTTATATTATTCACTAAATCCTACTTGAGTTGAATCCTAGTAGTAGCTAAACAGCTTCTACTCTAAAGTACTTAACCATTTCAGATCAATCCAATCCATAAAAGATGGGAGAGACAGATCCATCAGCATTAGAAGTTGCATGCGAAGCAAGTTGTTGACCTCATTTTTGTGAGGTCTATCTCTTTCTTTCACTAGAACTTAGGGTTTTAATCCTAAGGTTTTCCGAATGGCTTTGCCCAAAGACTGGTATTGGGACTCATACCAATTAAAAATTTGAACAATTTATTGACTCTTGTGGCTTCATGTAGTTGAACTTAAATCCTCAAACTTGGGTTGAGTTGATTTATGTCAAATTATTGAAGCACTAGTTGAGTTTCTATGGGACTGAAATGTCCTAAGCAACCCCCTTTGACCCTAGAGACTTGGGTCATCTTGTTGGTCTTTTCTTTTAGGGCATTTAACTCACTCTCACCACATTTGGATAACCCCTCTTTAAGTTTTAAAAAAACTCATTCAATTATAAAGTTCTCCTTAAGCTAAAAAGAAGACTTACCCTTCAATAAAATAATTGACATAATAAAATCATCACCAAAATTCCATAACTTTTCAAAAAAAAAACATTAAATCAAATGAAATTGAAATCAATATAATTGAAAAGATTCAAAACTCGTAGAAAAAAAATTTTCCAAAATTTTCAAAATTAATAAAATTTAATTTCTCAAAATAAATCAATAATGTGAAAATAAAAGAGAGAGTTTTTATTTTTTTAAATTACCAATATATTTCAAAATTAAATTAAATTAAATTAATCATAAAAAATTTGAATAAAAAATTTGGAAAATAAGAAAATGGAAATAAAATTTAATAAAATTCAAAAATATAACTTTGAAAAATAATTCAATAATCAAAGTTAATAATAAAATTTAATAAGAAGAAATAAAATTCAAAAAGATAATAAAATGATATATTTTCAAATAATTTCATCAATAATTTTATTTTACTTTAAAAATTTCACTTAAATCCAATTTAATTCAAAACAAAATTTTGCAAAAAATATTCACTCCATTCATGCATGAAGCACTCATAAACTTACCCAATTGTTCATAATTTTCAAAAAGTAATAATTTTCATATAAAAAATATAATAATAATAAAAACAACATAAATAAGCTCACCCATTCATATACCCTCTCACATGGTCATCATTTCCAAGCTACTACCCAATTCTTTGAAGTTTCCTATTGGCCACCGCAGTGAAATGTTTTGACGGGGATCATAAGACAGATGTAATATCAACCAGCATGAATATTGTTTTCTTTTCATTGAGTTACTATAATTTAGAAATGTGAATGCTCCTAGGTTATCTTTAAATAACTCATTATTTGTTTTAATGCTTCTTTCAGATTTTAAACTTTTAACTAAGATGAATAGAAGAAGAGTTAGTGAACAGGACGAGAGAACAACAATCAGAAAGAAAAAACTTCATTGTTAATTAAATTACTTTCTTCGGTGACTCTTTCATGAATATTTGAATATTAAACAATTAGTGATATAAAAAAAGATGAATTTATTTTCACCGTGTCATACTCCAAGCTCCAAGTAGGGCTGTGACACCTATTTAATCCTTTCATTACATTTTCTCTTTGGCAGAGTAAATTTCCCATAAAAGAGGCATTTACATGCATATCACGAAATTCTTATTTATTTACATATCTCACTCAAATATTTAATATCACATAAAAAATTACACTATTACCACTTTTAAAAAGTGATATACACATTTTCATACATAAGTTAAAGCACCAAGGTGTTATGCATGTACATATAAAAGTTTAGATGTGAGATATGTAAATACATAAGAATTAACTAGAATAGATAAAGGTTGGATTTTGTATCTAAAAGCTGAATTATAAATATGAAAGTTTCTATCGTTATTGGGGCTTGAAGTAAATAAGCATTTTGAAGCCGCATGGATAGAAAGAGAGAGAGAGGGCAGTGAGTGGAAGGAACGGTGATGATAGTTAAAAGAAGGAAAATAAAATATGAGTGGAAAGGTAGAGAGTGAAAAAAAATGACGTAATGATGAGGAATAAGATAAGGAGAGAGATAAATGGCTGAGGCAAGAATAGATCTAAAGAGAGCAAGAATAGAGAAGGAAAGAATTTGATGTAATCTATATTTTTTAGTTTGGCGAGAAAACTCGTCATGTTTGCCTCATTCTGATGTCTATCCTTCTAATTAGTTCATCCTCTCAATCACTTCTACCAGCAATTATTGCTTGTTCTATTTTCATCCATATTCCTCAATTGAATTGGATGATTGCGCGTTTGAACCAAGATTATGGGGTTGTTTGTTTGGTGTAATAGGATGTAGAATAAATAAAAATACAAGGTTTGAAACAAGGCACATGCATAGTATTCATATGGAGGATTTGTACTACCCAAGAAAGTCCATTTGTATGAATTTCAAATTCACCCAAATTGGTGAATTTCAAATACAAAAAACTCAAAGCCCGGGGCTTTCTATCTCTGCACAATGTTGTCAATCATAAGCTCATCATCAACACAACTCCATACAACCATTGTCAACCCCGATATCACCGTACATGACCTC